TATGGCCTGGGAAAGCAGTGGAAGATGGCCCCCAAGTCATTGGGCCCCTGCACCCACATGAGAGACCCAGAAGAGGCTCCTGGCTTTGGATCGGCACAACTCCAGCCATTTTGGCCAACTGGGGAATGAACCAGCGAATGGAAGACTTCTTTCTCTGCCTCTCCTTCTCTCTCTGTGTAACTCTGACTTTCAACTAAATAATTAAGTCTTTTTTTTTTTTTTTTTTACAGGCAGAGTGGACAGTGAGAGAGAGAGACAGAGAGAAAGGTCTTCCTTTGCCGTTGGTTCACCCTCCAATGGCTGCCGTGGCCGGCGCACTGCGGCCGGCGCACCATGCTGATCCGAAGCCAGGAGCCAGGTACTTCTCCTGGTCTCCCATGCGGGTGCAGGGCCCAAGCACTTGGGCCATCCTCCACTGCACTCCCTGGCCACAGCAGAGAGCTGGCCTGGAAGAGGGGCAACCGGGACAGAATCCGGTGCCCCGACCGGGACTAGAACCCGGTGTGCCGGCGCCGCAAGGTGGAGGATTAGCCTAGTGAACCGCGGCGCCGGCCCATAATTAAGTCTTAAAAAAAAAAATCAAAATTGCAATGAGAAGCAGTCCACTGTCTATAACGATGTAGCTGCAGGAAACTTCTGGTTTCTTTTATTGTGTGATGTGCTGACAGCCCAGGCCATAGCCAGAATAGAGGGGAAGGCAGGGCTGCGAGAGCTGGGGGTTGTAGGATGTTGGGGGATGGGGCTGGTATGTGGGACTCATCAGTCACTGCATCCAGGGAGCAGCTGGAAGAAAGGAAGAGGCAGAGAGGGCTGGTGGAGGGGGTGGGAGCCTGAGTGAGTCTGTGCTATGGTCCCCCATCCCAGCAGTGACGGAGTGCCGCTGAGAGCGAGGTGTGTAAAGGCACAGGCCGCCCCGGAAGGGGGCTCCCTGGCCCCTTGTCCTTGTGACTTGCTTCTTACAGCGCTGACACCTTGCAGCCTGGAGCACTCTTGTCTACTTCTAAGATGCCTGGGAGGTGGGGGTAAGGCACCCCATCTTAGAGACGGGGAAACAGGCTCTGAGTGAGCCCCGTGACTGCCAGATCCAAAGCTGAATTCAGGCCTCCCGGGGGGCCTGGGTGCGTGCCCTTTGTTTGCAGTGGAGTGCCCAGACCCCAGCTGCCCGTGGAGAGTCACCAACATTCCAGGGCCTGCCTGAGCCCCTCCTCAGCCCCTGCAGATCAGACTCTGGGGGCTGGGGCCTGGACCTGGGCATCTTCTGCAACAGGAGCCCACAGCCACGTGTGGGGCCACCTCTCGACACCCTGTGCCTCGACACACACTGGCCCATGGTGCCCAGGGCCCGAGTGGATGACCCCGTGACTCCCCGGTGGTGGTGGTAGTGCTGCTGCCCCAAGTCTCCTGGGACCCTCGGGAAGGGAGGGTGAACAGAAGGTGGGCCAGCAGGCGGCAGACAAAAAGCACAGCACGAAGGGGTGGCAGGCTGCATTTTATTCATCGTTACACACCCTTCAAGTCCGCTCTTGGAGAGTGAACGCACTGTGGACACAGGCTGCAGGGAGCCTGCGCTCCCCGCCCCTCCTGAGAGCAGGCAGCAGAGACCAGGGGTTTGGGGTGGGGCGCAGGGGCTCCTCTTCACTGCGGCACACGACTGGCTTCATGCAACAGCATTGTCACTCTCGGGGCTGCCTGAAGGCGCCAGGGCTGCTCCAGGGGCAAGAGTCCAGGCCCCGAGTCCATGCGGCTGGGCCCGTCCCGGGGATCCGGAAGAGGCCTGGGTTGGTGCTTCCTCTGCTTGCTCCTTCCCACTGCATAGGGAGTGGCCGGCGAGCTCTTGACACAATCATGGCTGCAGCAAAACCAAGGGCCCTACGCTGTCTGGTTGGCTGTGCTGCCCCGACAGTGTGCATGTGGAGTTGTGCTTTTCGTTTTATAAGGATGTAGAGTTCGAGTAAGACAGAAGTGTGCAGCCCACCATGCCTGCGGTCCCGGCCTGTGTGGGCCATGGCTTGAGGCTCCTCCTCTGGCCGCGAGGCTGCAACCACCCCGCACCCCAGAGCCTGCAGGAAGAGTGGATCTGCTGGGAAGCCCGCGAGAGGGGCGGAGGCTCCGGCGGCCACTCTCAGCTAGTTTCCAGGGTTGGGCTCGGGCATGGATGCTGGCTTCCGTGGGAGACACAAGTCCGTGCACATTGCACATAGAACTCTCCAACACACAGAATTTTCCAGGGCCTCGTAGATCTCTAGTGAATTTTTAAAAATGGGAACTCTTTCTTCTTAAAGTAGCCTAGGCTGGGATTTTTTTTTTCCCTCCATGGCAAAAGGGGCTAGTAGTTTTTTTTTTTAATTGAATTTTTTAAGGTGAACAAATTTCATGTATTTGCTAGTGGCTCTTTGTAAGGCTGGTGTGCTCACGGGTGTGTGTGTGTGTGTGTGTGTGTGTAAGAATGCATGCACGTGCACATGATGCTGGCCACCTGGCCAGGGCAGTCTGGAATTTTCCACAACTTGAGGGCCTGCTTTGCCAGGCCTGGTGGCTCTGGCATGCTCTGACCACCTGACTTTAGCAAGCAAGGCCCCCCATGCGGCTGGCTGCCTAATCTGAGACGGCCCCACACCAAGCCCTTGGCTCTGGGTGGTCACAGCAGAATGGCCAGGGGGTTTTTAGAGCCCGTGCTGCCTTTATGGGGTCCCCACACCCTAGCACGAGATGGGGGAGTGTGGCCCAAGGTTAGGAAGCAGCTCCTGGAGCCTGGGGGAGTGCGGATTGCAGTGGGCTGCCAGCTGGGGGTCAAACTGGAAACACCCCACCCCCGCAGTGGGCAAGGCCATGGTCAGGGAGGGGGTGTGAGACCTTTCCCAGCGGGGGGCTTCCGAGGAACCTGCAGGGAAGCCAGGGCTGTCAGAGCCCGTGTTCCTGCGACCACAGGAGGACCCCCGCCCGGCTTCTCAAGGCTCCCCCTCAGGCCGGTGTCAACCCACATGTCCCGTAGGCCTGGGTCTAAGGCTAACTCAGGTACCCAGACATCAGGAGCCCCAGCTTTGCGGGGGAGCAGTCCTTGGCAAGTGGGTGCTGAGCCCTCTGGCCTGTGATGAACAGTGACAAGGTGATGTCCTCCAGAGTGACTTGGGATTGGGGTTGGGAGCTGGGGGCCCGGGATCGTGAGCAAGCGTGCACATGCGCCATTGGCTGCTGGGCCACCCTGTGCCTTGGGGGACTGGCGTCTCTTAGGACGCTGGGGAGAAGGAAGGGAAAGGCCCCCCTCTGCTGTCCCTCAAGCCGTGCCTACGGTCCCTTTGCTCAGGATGCCACCTGTTGCCTCCTTCCAAAGCCAAAGCACAGGAGAAGTGAAAACAGCTAAGGCTGCAGCATAAGCAGCCCCGGACAGACTGTAGGAAGCACTGCCCATGGAGAAGGCCACCAAGGAATATTGTGCGTGTCCGTCCTCTGGAGGCAGGTCCTGGTTCCTCCCGTGGAGTTGGGCTTCTGGGCAGGGTGCTCACCCTGGCTGGGGGGTGGCCCGGACGCCTCTGCAGACCTGTCTGGCTCACACGGTCTGGCTGTAGGGAGGCGGCTACTCTGCCTGCTGACAAAGTACTCCCCGTCTGCGTGCCTCTGCCCTAAGTTATTTCCTGTTGCCTAGGTGATCCCTCTAATTGGATGCCTGCTTTTAAAGGGATAGACCTGGCACTTTATACCCAGGTCCTGTCAGAGGCCCTGCCCTGGAGACCTGGGCCTCTCCAAGCCCGCAGCCCCTCCAGTGGGACTCCCATCAGCACCTGCATGGGAGCACGCAGCGCTGGCCCGACAGCCACAGTGGACGCTGGCAGCACGGCCCACGAGGGAACCTCCCTGTCAGGATTTAGCAAGGCTGACTTGGTTCTCTTCAGATCAGGGTCTGTGTTTTCAAACCAGTTCCAACCTGAGTAGGAATTAGTCCAAGGAGCTGGAGAGTCATTGAAAGCCCAGCTGATTTTTTCCTTTCTGCCATGAACATGAAAGAGAAACAGGAGTCTTAACATTCAAGTGTGGCTCTTCATGCTGTGTGTGCGCGCATGTGTGCGTGCGTGCATGTGTGTGCGCGTGCATGTGTGTGTGCGTGCATGTGTGTGCGTGTGCCAAGCACATTTGCCAGGGAGGGAGACTTCGTGGCACGGCTCACAGCAGCAGTGTACTGGTGCTTTTCTGAGACCTCCTGTCAGAGCTGTATGCCTTGGTCACGTCGTGCCTGTGTCAACATGTCCCCGGATTGTCATCCTCTTCCAATGGGAAAAGCAGGCGAGAGGAGCATTCCCTTACAATCGAGCCCTCGCCCCCTGTTCTTCAAGGACCCCCGGCTCTCTGGCTTGCTTCCAGGGTAGTGAGCTCCCACGCTGCTGCTGGCACGTTTGGGAGTCTGTGCCCCTAGGTGAGGGGTCACCCAGAGCCAGACTTTAGTCTTAAAGTGACTTCCGCCCCCCGGCTCTGCCAGCCCTCCCTCCTGCCTTCTGTGCATGGAGGAAACGAATGGACGTGAGTACCGGCAGAGGCCAAACAGGAATTGGGGGGGGGCGTTGTCTGCTCCCAGACACCTGTGGGCACTGGCGCGAGATGCCCTGACATTCACAGGATGGCTGCTTGGGGTTCCTACTGCTGCAGGTCCCAGGGTCCCCAAGGGTGAGGCTGGCAGAGCCAATTCAGAGAAGGAAAGGGGGCAGCACAGGGGCCGCGTTCTGCAACCCCAGGCCCTCTAAGGGGGAAAGGTTGACTCGATCAAGTCCACAAGGAAACCCCACGCCAAGAAAGACCACGCTTGCCCGAGAAGACTCGGATATTTTGGTTAATAGGGAAAAGCATTCCAGAGGCTGCTGCTTGGGACAGAAAAGGCGGGTTGAGGGGTTGGGAGGTGTGCGGGCATGCTCAGAGCTCCTCCCCTGCAGGTCGCCCCAGCGACTCCCCGACTGCCCTGCATGCTGCGCTCAGTGGGCCAACTCCAGGCTGAGAAAGGCCAGCGCTGCCCCTTCCCCACCGCAATTTTCCAAATCTGGGGAAATGCCACAGTGCCGGAGCTGGTGCTGTCTCATCTCATTGCATAATACTATGCCGCCGCCGGCCCCTGTGTGTAGCGGCTGTTCCCTACCCATACACCGGGAGGCAACAGATGGCTGGCCCCACCCCCACCTGTCAAAACTGTGACTCTAGAAGGAAACTGCTGGGCTGGGCTAGGACTCTAACTGCTGAGGAGGTAATTCTGAGCCGTGAAGGTTGCACCCCAGGCTGTGGCTTTGCCAGCTGCTGATATGCATGGAGACGAGTTAGCGCCAGGCTGCCAAACCCCGGGGGTGGCTCGCTCCTCACTGCAGCGTGCAGCGTGCCTCCTGCAGCGTGCATCGGGCCTGGGGCTGGGTGCCACTTCTCTCCCCGCTGCAGGGCACAGTTCTCCAAGAGGGGGCTCCCAAGGCGAACAGGTTCCCCCTAACCTGCCCTTGATAACATCGGGCCTGGCCAAACAGTATCTCTGCTTTAAAAAAATTTTTCTTTTTTTTCTTTTTTTTTTTTTTGGTTTCATTTTTATTGGATCAAGATTAAGAAAGCGCCAGCGTCTGAGAGAAGTGCAGCGAGCCCGGGGGGCGGCGGCCGCAGCCTGGTGCGGGCCCCGGGCGCGGGCGCCTACCGCGAGGCGCTGGTCTCGGCCAAACGGTTGTTCATGATGCCCAGCGCGCCCACGCCGCCCGAGAAGCCGTTCTGGCGCGTGTGCACGCACACGCCGCGCGGGTAGCCGTTGGCCGTCTCCGACAGCTGCTTCTGCAGCAGCGCCAGCGACACCTTGTTGGAGGCCGTGAGGTCGCGCATGGAGATGAGCTCGCCCGACAGGCGGCGGCCGTCGGCGTCGCTGTCGCGGGCCGCGGCGTCGGCGCCCAGCGCGGCCAGGCGGCGGCGCAGGCGCGAGCCCGGCGTGATGGCGTTGCGCCGGGCCAGGGGCGCGCCGGGCGCCGGGCAGCAGCGCGCGCAGCAGCGGCAGCTCAGCTTGCGCAGCATCCAGTTGAGCACCTGCTTGATGAGGATGGAGATGACGTTGAAGAGCGAGTAGATGCAGCACACGCCGAGCAGGATGAAGAGGAAGTTGCCCAGGCGGTAGAGCCCCTGGTTCCGGTAGGCGGCGCGCTGGCTGCTCACCAGGTCGCCGAAGCCGATGGTGCTGAAGGTGACGAAGCAGAAGTAGAGCGAGTCCACGTAGTCCCAGCCCTCCACGCTGGTGTACATGGCCGAGGCGCAGCACGACAGCAGCACGGCGAACAGGCCCAGGATGAGCAGCACGTGGTACACCGAGGGCTTCCAGCCCGCCAGGCTCTCGGCCTCGGACAGCGCCGAGCCGCGGCGGAAGGTGGCGGGCAGCAGGCCGCTGCGCCGCAGCTGGCGCTCGCGGCACGCACGCATGATGAAGGCCAGCAGCGAGATGATGCGCTCCAGGAAGAGGTTGAAGAACAGGATGGTGCCTGCGCAGCCGAACAGCCCGTAGGCGATGAGGAAGGCCTTGCCGCCCACTGTCGCCGGCGTGGTCATGCCGAAACCTGCGGGCGCAAGGCAAAGGCTCAGCAAGGTCCTGGCCGGCGGGTACCGGCGGTCCCCCCTCCCCAAACGGACACCGCTCAGGTGCAGGGGAACAGCCCGCAGATATGGCTCCTGATCTTGGCAACCCCCTAGACTGCTGGAGGGGGCACAGCCCCTCGTCGTGGGGTGGATGGGACAGGCCCTAGGAAGGACCAGTCATCAGGACACTCAAAACAGAAGCCACCGGCAAGGTGCAAGCCGCTGAGATAGGCCCAAAGCCCACCAGCCACACCTGCTCCCCTGCATGTGATTTGTTTAACTAAGGTAAGGTGTGGCAAGCTGCAGGATTCGGCTAAGGCCTTGCCTTAGGTGGGGTAAGCACTGGTCAGGTGCCTAGAGTTAACGGCCTCTGAGAAGGGCTTTCTGAGACTGCGAAAAAGGACTGAGAGTGAACGAGGCTCTGCTGTTTGAGGTCAGCTCCTCCTCACCCCAGGGCCACCACGGCCAGTTCCACTTGCTGCACTTGTGGCCAAGGGGGAGGTTTGGTGAGTGTTGGAGTTGCTTTTGTCTTGGGAGGCCTGCCTCCCTGCGGGCTTCCTCGTGACTAAATCCCCACTGTTCAAAGCACGGGCTTTCAGGCAGTCTTCATGGGCTGATTCCTGCAGGAGGCTTGGCTGCCCTTAACACCATCCGGGGTCCCACGGAGTGGCAGCTCTGCCCTCCAGCCGGAGCTCTCGGCCCACTCCTGGCAGCGCAGTCCACTAGTGGGACCCCAAGTTGCCTGGCTTTGGTGGGCACGTTCACCTGCTGCTCGCAGTGCGAGCTGAACAGGTATCGTCTGTGAGCGGCACCGTGGCACCTCTCAATACCGCTGGCCGAGCAGCTCAGGGGCTGGAGGCTATCCCAGTGCAGCCAGTGGGGGAGGACCAGCCCTGGAAAGAGGTGAAGACTTGTGTCCCCTTTGGCCACTTGTTTTTTTCCTGCTGTGGGCCATGGATAAGCATTTCTTGTACTATCAGAATAAATTCCTTACGTCGGTGTGTGCATCATTTTCTCACTCCATCACCTGACCATGGCACTCAGCTTATGTGTGCTGGCCCCAGGTGGGCAACAGGTTATGATGTCACCTGTGCTGAAGGTGAATTATGTCCCTAGCTTCAGAACTTGGCCACAGAGAGTGGGGAGAAAAAAAGGTAGCAATATCAGCAGGAACTTGCTGGAGGGATTTTGCTACACTTGAGTTCACAAAGAACTTAGCTATGAATTTACATAGTTATTTGTGGAGTGTGATTGTGTGTGTTTGTGTGTGTGTGTTTGAAAAAGTCTCGGGCCCCGAGACCCAGAGGGAGCAGCTAAGCGTGGCTTGGGAGTGAATTTGAAGGCTGTATTTAACATCTGAGCGTGACTCTCCGGCTCAAAACTGGCACGTCTTAACTATTTGGAAAACTCCAGCCTCTACCCAACATGTTGCTAACGACAGCAGATGAAGACAGAGCTGGTTCCAGCCGGACTTGCGGGCCAGCCCTGCCTCCCAGCGCCAGCCCCGCGGGCACCACCTTGCTGCTGCGGCCCCAGAAGGAGGCAGGCCTCCTTCCATGGGGAGGCTCCACAGGGCTGGGCGAGGAGGGGGCACGGCCCACAGCAGGAAAACAGCAGAGCTTAGGCCGCCAGCCACGCACGCCCTCTCCCCAGCACCAGCCTGTCTTCTGGGAGCACCGAGTGGAGCTTGGTGCTGCAGGCCCTGATGGGGACGAGCAAAGGCAGGGTACACAGGGGTCCCCCCAAGACTGAGCGGCCTGGCTTTCATGGGGCCACAGCCACCTCCTCCCTTCTCTGTGTCCTCAAATGCCTGTAATCCCCTCCTTGTCCAGACTCCTGGCTTCTGCCCAGATCCCTTTTCCAAGTTTGGGTTTTGGGTTAGAATCTGCCTTTTCCCTGGGTGACTGTAGCTAGACTCAGATCGACTCCCCTAGCCCCATTTCCCCTCCTCAGGGGTGTGGCTGGTCCTAGGGCCCCACAGGGCCACAGGCCCCAGATAAGCCATGGCTAGGACTAACCTGTACCCTCTCCTTCCTTTTCAGCCAGCATTCCCTGAGGGCCTGGCTTAGCAGCTTGTGCTGGGGGAAGGCCACAGACATTAGCTGCCGTCTCGTCTCGAGGCCCTCTCCATGCTTCCTGGGGGGTGTTACACAGACTCTGCCCACCTGCTGCCCCTGCTTCTGTGCGGGACCCTGGGGTCTCCTCATAGCCCTGGCTCCGCTTGCAGTGCCTGCATCCCCAGGTGACACCAGACACTTGACTGGCTGCGTGGCACAGCTGCTCAGAAAGAAGGGGCCGGGCAGGTCAGGAGGTCCTCTTGCTGTCCTCGTCCTGAGGTCTGGCTTCTGCTCCCTTCCCCACGCACATCAATAGGCCAGAGCTTGGAGGATGCGAGGCCCTGTCAGGCTGCCTGCTGAGGGCAGTGCAGCCTATGCCCAGCACCACTGCCTGGCCACTTGCTCGGGGAGCAGTCTCCCCAGATCTGGCAATCTGCGGGGAGCCAGGCTGGTTCTGCAGAGGGACTTCAGCCACCCAAGTGCACCTCCTCCCTTCCAGTCACACCCCGGGCTGCTCCCAGCCTGCTGTTTTGTTTATGCCACAATTGATCTGCCATCCTGGCTTGCAAAGAGCAGACACTTGGGGGCTTTATTATGCCACTTTGACAAAAGCTGTGAAGCTCGTTCCCACAGCCTGTCTGGTGCCGCCTTCGCAAATGGGGCCCTGGTGACAGGGCCTTCAGAGTTCAGCTCAGCCTGGAAGAGGGACACGGAGGCCAGCAGCTGATCTGCCTCGTGCTGCCCTGGGAGGTGCCTTTAGACACTCAACACGCTTCCCCCAACCAGGCCCCCGCCACCCTGGGAGGGAGGCGCTCTTACCCCCTACACTGCAGGCCAGGACACGGGCCAAGGCAGGGAAGGTTCTCGCTGAGTTCGTTTGGAAGTGGCTGAGCTCGTGCCCCTTCCACTGTGCCAGACAGATGGGAAGTCTTGGCTCATTACCCAGGGGACCTTGTCCTGCTGGGCTGTGCGCTGTCAGCTCTGAGGGGGGTGGGGAATACAATTTACAGTCCAATCTGGGAAACTTGGGAGAGGAAAAGCAATGCTGCTGCTAATTATCCCGGGACAGCACAGATAAAGCAGGGCTATTCAAGAAATTGGGATGTATGATTAAAATGCAAATTCCAAGGCAGGGCCCCCTCCAGAAATTTATTTAGTGGGCCAGGAAAGGGGCCTAGGAATCTGCACGTTAACAAATGTTCTGCTCCAGATAAATATGATGTAAATGGGCCAAAGTCATTCTGTAAGAGACAGTATTGAGGCTGGTGTCCCATATGGATGCTGGTTTGAATCCTGGATGCTCCGCTTCCAATCCAGCTCCCTGCTAATGCACCTGGGTAAAGCAGCAGAAGATGGCCCAAGTGCTTGGGCCCTGAACCCACATGGGAGATCCAGAAGAAGCTCCTGGCTTTGGCCTGGCCCAGCCTTGGATGTTGTGGCCATTTGGGGAGTAAGCCAGCAGATGAAGACCTCTCTTTGTAACTCTGCCTTTCAAATATATAAAATAAATCTTAAAAAAAAAAAGTGTTAATTAGGTATCACAGATAACCCTACCAGTTTGGCATCTTGCAACTGTATATATCTTCTTTATCAAATGCCCACAAAAGCCAGGGCTGAGCCAGGCTGAAGGCAGGAGCCAGAAGCTCCAACCAGGTCTGCCACATAGGTGGCAGGGGCCCAAGCACTTGGGCTATTATTAGGCCATCCTTGGCATGTCAGCAGGGAGCTGGACTGGAAGTATGGAGTGGCCAGGACTCAAACCAGTGCTCTGACATGGGGTGGGGGTGGGGTCCCAAGTAGCCACTTAACTTGCACCCCTCTTAAATTTTTCAAAAGACACTGGCACTTCTAGAACAGTGCCAGGCACATAGAACATTCTCAAGGCACTTTTGTTGAGTGAATTGAATAGTCATCACACTCTGCTTGCTTAGAGCAATGATTTTCAAACTAGAGTGCCTCGCCCTACCTGGGGAGCTTGTGGACCTGAGGGTGGCGCTTGCAATTCTGCATTTCTAAGCTGATCCCAGGAGGTGCCCCTGCTGCTGGTCAGAGGAGAGGTTTTGAGCTGCAAGCACAGGGGACTGAGAGTGTTAATCAACTTTTGAGGGCTGCCTCCGTGACGGGCCTGGAACCCCTTGCAAGAAGGGACTGTAGCACATGGGTTATTTGGAACAAGGCTGCCCAGGTTTGAATCCTAGCCCCACCCCTCCCTGGCTGTGTGTCTTGGAGCAAATCAACCACTCTGACGCTCATCTCCTCATCAGTAGAACGGACATGCTGGCCGTAGATACCTCAATGACTTTTTGTGAGTGTTAATATACACAGAAGACTTTGAACAGCACTGAGTGCACTGATAAACCCTGACGGTTTCCTACTATTACTCTTTCTACAACGAATGGGGGGATCTTGCACAAAGCAGGCAGTGATGGGTCTCTGTGGACTGAATGAGTTCAAGTGCAAATTTCAAGACCCTCAAAGGTGAGTATGAAATGTCGGCAAGAATGGAAGGCTGTAGGATTACTGAGCCTGTGACTCCTTAGGGTTGGCAGATAAAGCATAGGGCACCCAGCTGAACAGAAGTTTTAGGTATTTAGGAAACCATTTTTCAGTTTAAGTATGCCCCAGATATGGCACCATATTTATACCAAAAAGTGATTTCTTATCTGAAATTCAGACTTAACTGGGTGTCCTGTATTTTTACTTGCTAAATCAGACAACCTTACTGCTGCCCCCACTTGTCTGCCTGGCATCCTCCTCCCAAAACCCCACCTCATCTGCTGGGAAGAGGGATCAAGAGCCCCCCTTTTACAGTCTGGGACCCCAAGGCTCTTACAGGGCAGTGGCAGCAGCCCAGCCTTGCAGGGACCAGGGGAGATGCCATAGGGTGGAGAGGACCCCTGTCAGCCTGCTCTGTGGCCACAGCA